ATCCAAAACAATAGTCTGGGTGTTCCTCCTAAATTCTGATTCTCCCACCATCCTTCCCATCTCTGTAAATGTCATCTTCATCCTTCTGGCTGCTCAGGCGAAAGATCTTGGGGTCACTCTTGGCTCCTCCCACACCTCATATCCAAGCCACGGCAAACCCTCTTGAGCCTGTTTCCTAAGCATTTCTTTCTTTCTTTCTTTTCTTTTCTTTTTTTCTTTTTTTTCTTTTTTTTTTTTTTTTGGTTTTTCGAGACAGGGTTTCTCTGTGGTTTTGGAGCCTGTCCTGGAACTAGCTCTTGTAGACCAGGCTGGCCTCGAACTCACAGAGATCCGCCTGCCTCTGCCTCCCGAGTGCTGGGATTAAAGGCGTGCGCCACCACCGCCCGGCTTCCTAAGCATTTCTTCAACTTAACCAACTCTCAGCCCTCCATCAGCACTTGGCTCACTGGTGCGTCTCATCCAGTGACCCACACAGCAAATCTCCCTCTTCTCCCCTTGGACTCCCCATGGCAGTCTTCTCTAAGAGGCTCAAGGTGGCCATAGCACCTCATCCCTCTGCCCATAACCTGCCACTGGCCAGAGTTTACACAGGGGAAATGTCCAAGTGTCTTTATGGCCTCCCGGACCCCCATAGCCCTAGTCAGACCACAGTCCTGCCTCTCTCCCCTCCTTTTTTTCTTGCACACTTCCTAGAATTCACAAGCTGCTCCAGCTCAAGCCCCTTTCACTCATTATCTCTCTGTCTAGAATGGATCTCCACACCTGCGTGTAGCCTGAACCCTCAGTACCTTAGGGTCACTATTCAAATGCTCTTCCTCAGTGAGGCACTCCTTGACCACACATGAAATAAAATAAAATGCATTCTGTTCTAGAAGCTCCAATTCTTTGTTCTCTGCTTTGTTCTTCCCCTCACCACACTGTTCTGCAGCAGTTCTGCATCTTCCATCATCCATTCTGAGGGCTGGGGGATTTGTCTGTTGTATTCATGGGCTGAATATCTGTCTTAGAACAGTGTTTGGCTCTAGCGAGCCTTTGTTGGATGAATGCAAACATGAATGATAGACATTTGGGTATTTGGAGCATGCTAGTCTTTTGCTACTAAAACAAATGCTGTAGCAACCAATACTGAGTACTAACCATTTTGCTTATATATGACTACATTTGTTGGGAAAGGACATAAATGTTCATAATTCCAACTGTTTGGGAGTTTATATGACAAAAAAACTCTCCATAATTCACCATTATATGTTGGGCAAATTACATGAGAATTGTATGGCACCCCATGTTGACCTGGTTTTGTCTTGGATGAAAGAAATGATAAGGGAAAGCTCTCTGGGAAATTCAAGTTGTTAATTAGCTATTAATACCAGTTACTATCTCATCAGGGCCACTAGAGAGTCATCATAGCATCCTGGTCACACAGCACACCAGATCCACTAGCTCTCTGCTTGCAGACAGGGACAGAAAGGATAGGTCCTATAGCCTGGATATTTTCTGATGTTTAAAGAAGTCTGGGGCGGAAGAAGGACCTCTCACATCATCCGGCATAGTATAAAAAATAGTCTGAGATGTCTTGATCAAAATTTTCTTGGACTTTGTTCAGGGATTCGAGTGGCATGACCTCTTGGGATATTGTTAATATTGTAATTCATAGGAATGAATGAAACCGTGTTCATCCTGGGCAGCTCTGGACAGTGACCTGGTGGTACTCTGTGGCGCCAAGAACTTTAAATGACCCCAGAGATCTCGTATCTCCCAGTCCTGAGCTACAACAGCCACCTCTCTGCAATGGTCCTCAGCCTGACAGACCATCAGATGGCTGTTGCTGAGAGTGAATTCATGTTTTGCTGCACAGAACAATCTGTGCAGCAAACATGAATAGATCTCCAGGCAAACAGCACAGGCTGCCTGGGTGCCCTTGGTAGGAGAGTGTCCAAGTCTTCTTAGCCACCCCTCCTTGCCCAATACAAGCCTTCAGAGTCAGGTGCAGGAGCTACACAACACAATGCTCAGTGGACAATGTCAAGATGGGTCACAAAGATGTGACCTGGAGACTAGCAAGTCAGATGAGCCATGAGTTACATCATGCTGGTTCTTGGGGACTTGGGTCCTTTATGGTTTTCTAGGTTTAATTTTACATCTCAGAAGATTCTGCAAATGCCAAGGTAGCTTCACATGGCTTCTGGAACATCCAGGAAATAGTTTGAGAAAGGGAGTGGCTCTGTTGTTCTATGAGTACTTAAGCTATATCCATCTATTGATGGGCAAAACTGAAGCCTGTCAAATGCGGAGTTATATACCTGGTGTGCGTGCCCGTGGACACAATCACTTGGAAAGCATTTTGGCTGAAGATTTGCATACCCTTTGAAACAGCAATTTTTACTGTATTTACTCTAGAGAAACTTGTTCAAAGACTTGGGTAATAATGTTTAGTATTGCCTGTGCTAGTTTTTATTGTCAACTAGATACCACTAGGAAGAAGAAATCTCAATGGAGAAACCACTCAGATCAGATTGGCCTGTGGACTTGGCTGCAAGAGATTGTCTTGCTTAACGATTGATGTGGAAGAGCCCAGCCCACTGTGGGCAGCACCATCCCCAGGCATGATATATACTCTGAGCTATATACTAGACTCTGAGAGTGAGCCACCAGACAGCAGCATTCCACAGCTTCTGCCTGAGCTCCTGCTCTGACTTTCCTCAATGACAGACTGGGAATTGGAAGTGTAAGATGAAGTCAACCCTCTCCTCCTTAAGTTGTTTTCGGTCATGCTGTTTATCACAGCAATAAGAAAACTAACCAGAACATATCCTTATCGGTAATAGGAAAAACTGGCAATGTCTACAAGTAGACATTTTTAGGTTAGTTCTGTGGTAAAATATTATACCACACTGAAAATAAATGTGCTATAGCCTACATGTCAGTATAATAATAATAATAATAATAATAATAATAATAATAATAATGAATAGTGTCATGCAAAATCAAAAGCGAGTCATTGAAGGATACATGTGAAGATATGTAAACTTTAAGGATCTGTAGAATTGCTGTGTACTGTTTGTGGAAATAGGTCTATGTATAAAATCTCAAAGAATGCATTAGTGGGATAAATCTCAAATTCAGGATAACAGTTTCTGTAACCCGCTAATTTGCATACTACAAAGTAATATTCAGGAGTCATTTCCTGGGAGTGATTAAATCATGAGGAATCCACTCTTCTGAATGGAATCCGCGCCTTTATAATAGAGGCTCAAGCTGCTTCCTTTGCCCTTCCACCATGGAATCTTCTAGTGCCTTCAGCTTGGTCCTCCCAGTTCTAGAATTGTAAGCAATACATTTCTTCTGCTTATAAATCTCTTAGTCTAAGGTATTTTGTTATAGCAGCAAGAGCAGACTGCTAATGGCTGCTTTTGAGAAAGGAAATAACTGTGAAGTCAGAGGGTACTGCAAAGGCATCTGTAATGTTTTCCTTTTTAAAAATATCCATTATATTACTAGATATATAATTATAAGCTTGAGATATTTCAGAATTAAAGAGACATTGCAATGGTGTCTGAATCCCACGAGGCGAACTGAAGTATTGTTTGTGCTGGGGCTGGTGGCCAAGTCCGGTGAGTCTGGGCCACTAGCTTTGGATGTCACACCAATGATTCTTAAGTCCATCAGCAGCCTATCTGGGGGTGTTTGTGAAGCTCCGTGTTCATGTGCATCATCAGAGCAAATAACATGCTCATACAGCTCAGCGAAGTACAACGCAAAGACTCAAGGGGACACCTGAGACTGATTGTGCGACCAGGGCGACTGCTGAAGTAATTCACAGAGGTTGATGGCCTTCCTGTGATCACTTACCCCAGAGGAAGCCGACTGCTTCTCCAGGAGATATCACAAGCTTACAGCCCTATGGTCTGCTTTGGGAGACATAATTCCTACTTTAGAAGGTGAGTCTTTGTGAGCATGTTTGTAGAAGTCTTGGTTGTTCAGTCTAAGGACAGTTTGTGCAGTTATGAGTAGCGTAGGTCCTAACCATGGCCATCCTCCACACACCAGGAGCCCACTCACAATAACAGGGCAGGAGAGTCAATGGGACCTGGGGACTTCAAACTCCATAGAACCTGGGGCTTTCTTAATCACCCTGTGTGAACTCCCCGTGGAAGGGAGTGTGTATGTGCATGTGTATACATATGTATGGTGGCACTATTGAGTCCTGAGGCTTCAAGCTCATCTGGTCCCGTCTGACCTGGAGCCCACGGGCTAGCTCAGAGGGATCTGGAGGTGAAATTCTCAGCCCCATCAACTGGAGGCACTGACATACATTGTTTAGGACAATTTGAAATTATCATTCCCCCATAGCCTACTCATGGAGTTGTGCCCAGTGGTCTAAATGGTCACGGTCATGAGGTGGGGACAGACCACCTCCTGAAGGCTAGGTGTGCATATGCAGAACACCTGTTTCTCAGCACATCCCTCGCAGTCCCTTTACGGGCTAGTGACGGGACTAGGAAGGTGGCTGTGTGGGCTCCTTGTTTCCCTGATTTGGGTTCAAACCAGAATTCCTGAGGTGAGTTCATCTTCTTGGCTCCTATTATCACACACCCACAAAATGAAGACACCCCTAAAATGAATGACTGAAGCCCCATCCCTCGTATTTAAATGGAATATGCAATCACTGCAGGCATACCTGGTGCTTTTCCACATCCTTGTTCACACGGTCTCCTTTGATTAATAAATCATACTGATACTTGCTGAAGCCCTTCCCGCTCTGCAAGGCTCACTTCAGATGCCACCTCTTTTCTGGAGCCTTTTCTGACTTCACCCAAATTGAAGTAAAGTCCCTCTCCTTGAAGCATGAGGACGGAGCCTAGACCCCTTTCTCGGGCTTCTCTGAACGGGCTGGCAGAACACCTACCAGACAGTTGGGTTTGGGTGTAAAGTTGCACGCAGCGGAGCAGGCCCAGTGGAGCTGCCAGGGTTCCCCCCATGTGGACACCACAGAGCCTTACCTTAGGGGTGAACATGTGCAGGATGCCGTCAATAGCCCCTCGCAGCAGCAGCCCCCGAACCAGGAAGCAGGCCAACACCACGTAGGGGAAGAGGGAGCTGAAATACATTACCTGCAGAGAAGACAGAGCCCCCCCCCCCCCCCGTCAGGCAGAGCCCCCCTTCCCTGCTCACAGCTGGGGCCCATGAGCCTCCTCTGCTATCAGGCAGCAGAACTCAGAGCCTGGAGCCCCAAGGCACTGAGCCAAACCCACCATCCATCTGGCCCAAGCAGGAGCAGAACAAGCTGGAGTCAGCATGGCTGTGCCTGGAGCTAGTCTGCCTTTCAAGAGCTGGCAGGACCGAACCAGCAGTTTGTACTCCTAAGTCTCATGTTCCTAGTAGACAGTTCCAGGATCTGCACTGTCCTCAGAAGTTCTATAGCAGAAGACATCTAGGGGGCCTTGACACTGTTTCCCAACAGAGCCCATCAGAAGAGAAAGTAGCCCCTACACATCCCGAACCTGAACCACGTGATTCTTGCTAGTTCATATATGTCATGCACCTCTCTACAGCCCCGTGCTCCTGGCACAGAGTCACGCACAAAGAATTTGATCATGGGGCCTCAGCTGCAGTAAAACCAACCCTGGGGCACTTAGGACAGAGCAACAGAAAGGCTAAGAGCTATCTGCATGAGTACTGATCCTGCAGCTACCATCAACCAATCCTGGGGCCTCAGGCTACCTGCTTAGTATGCATCCATCTCCCCATCTCTAAAGGACTGCAATATTCTTAACTCATAACAGTGGTGAGAGCCAGGGATATGCAGATGTGACAGCCCTGATAAATGTCATGAAGTGTCAGCTACTATTCCGGCCCCCAGAGAGAGAGGAGGCTGGTGGCTGAGATGGTACCACCTTTCTGCAACTCAGCATCCTGACTCATCAAGTCTGACAAAGAACCAAGAGCCTCAGCTCAAGCCCTGGACCTGGACAGACTAGCTGTAAGACCTTAGAGGGGGCTCTTTCCCCAGTACAGACCTCAGTTTCCTTCTCTATAAAATGAGTGGAGGAGACATCTCTATCAGATGTCTGTCAGTCTTTCCATCCCTGGCAGCCCATGAATTCTGCGAGGTCATAAATAATAAGGATTGGAAATGCTGGGAAAGAAAGATAGGGCTGGACTGTTATGACTTTCACTGGCTGGACTGTTTGGGGGCCCCAAGCTCTCTGCGGCTCTAACAGCCCTTTATCGGCAGACAGCATAGGGCAGAGTTTCATCGAAAACTGCTTAGACTGCCCAATGCAAGGGCTTTTGCTTAGGAACCTGGGGATGCACCATCTAGATATCAAGGTCAGTACCTCTAGCTCCTCGGTGTTTGCAGGGCAGGCCTAAGCTATAAGCACCAAAACAGATGGGGCCCCAGTAACAACTACCCAGCAAGTTCATCCTTGGGCTATCTGTGGTGGTAATGTTCCCACCCTTCCCATGAGGCTAATGCTGTCACTCAAGTAGTCTTCCCCGGTGGCCTGGGATCCGAGCTCCTGCTCTCTGAGTCTCTGTTGCCTTTTTCCAGCTCACCTTTCCAGAGGACTGGATACCCTTGACTACAGCCATGCCCACGATGCTCCAGGCCACAAGGAGGCAGAGTGTCATCTTCCAGTTGAGGCCCCCACTCTCTGAGATGGAGTTGGAGATGTCCAAGGCCTCTCGGTACCAGAAGTAGGTAGTGGCTGAGCTCTTCTCACACTCGGGCTCCAGCACTGAAACCACAGGAAAGGCCACAGGCCTCAGCTTCCAGCCCTATGGCCATCTCCTGTGGTGGACCCTGCCCAGGCAGCAGTGGGTGAGTGGGGAGCTGGGGGACGACTGTGCAATGATCTGGAGGAACCCGAGGAATCCTGAGTTTCTGGTGGGACCTACGAGCCTTTGAGCCACAATCACATGGCTCAATTCCCACCTCCACCGTCTTCTGCTCACAAGTGCCAAATTTGTTTAAAGGTTCTTGGGGGAAGGCCCTGAGACAGAGGCTGGAAATCCAGATGTCAGGTCACTGGTTAGATGGACAGCATGAGCGTGGGAACAGGGGCTACGGGATCTGTTTTCCCGTCTATGGAGTGAGGCACGCAAGTCACAACTGTTCTTAGACATATGCTATTGGGGAAACAGAGTAGTTCATAATAACTAAACAAAATTCAATCCCTGAGACCTCTGTGTGCTAGGCCAGCAGGAGATCAGTAGATCATTTCCTCAAGAGAAGGAGAAAAAAAAAGTATTGGGGTGTGAAGTGCTTTCTCCAAGGTGACTCACTGAACCGATTAAACCCCGAATCTTAGTACTAAACAGTTTAGACTTCTTCCCGGGACAGTGCTGGCTGGAGACCACAGCTGGGGTTCCTCCAGGGTCCCCACACTTGCCTGCCACAGTCCCATTCCTGATGACAGGGCATTCGCTCCAGGGCAGGGGGTACTGGAAGGACTTGAAGAAGTAGAAGACGCTCCACCCAATGATGACATTGTAGTACAGCCCAACGAAGAGGCAGACCTGAGGGCAAGGACCAGGGTAAGATCACAGAGGCTGCAGGTAAAGCCGCCCCTCCCTGCACTCCACCCAAGGCCCAGCAGCTCAAAACCAGCCCTGATGGAGGATGTGGGCAGGGCGGGGCGGGGGAATGCAGAGATGGAGCAGGGGTTGGGGGTCTGCTCCCAGTCCTCCTCCATTCATCTGGTACTCAAACAGTCCACAAAGGAATTCCTGGGATATTAAAATTTTCTCCTTTAAGCAATAAACTCTTAAAATGTTAATTCTTTCCAGTTTGAAATTCCTGTGAGATACTTGAAGCCCTTCCCCCATCATTTCCTGATGACTCGGGATTCTAATCAGAGATGCCCTCCAGGACCACAGAGACACACCACAGTAACGGTCCTTTTAGGCCCAGATGGTGGCACTTTTTGAGACTGTGTGGATCACTGGTTTTTCCACCTCTTCCCTCTTCTCAGGTGCTGCTCTTCCTTCGGAACAGCAAGCAGCCTGCTTCTAGCTTCTAGAGACAAAGCAGTAAGCTTGGCAGAGTTTTATTAAACTAGGCGGGATCTAGCAATGTTTAACAGGCAGGGTTTGGCTGCATCTGCTCCGGATGCTCCGAGGGCCCTTCCAGAGGCCTGGCTGTCCCAGACGATTCAGATTGCTTGTTAGTGTGAATGCAGAGTGCTCCTGGTCTCTCCCATTTCACACGAGCAACTATGTGGAGGAGCACATGTTCACATACACAAAGAGAAAACGAGGGAGGGGGCTGCGCTGAAATAAACATGCAGAGAAGCAGCCCTTTCCTTAACTGTGTTGTTTCCAGCCCAGGTAGAGGGTTCCCCTCCTCGTGCATGTCCAAACATGGCCAGCCTGATGTTTACACTGGAGCTGGCCACGGGAAGGTGATGCCTGGTCTGACAACAGGATAATCCTCCTACCGTGTTTGACAGAACCCTCAGTCCCTTCCAGAAACAAATTCCAGTTTTTATCTCAAGTATGAGAATGGGCACCTGCAGGTTTCGCCTTTAAGGGATGCTCAGTTACTTTAGTTGTATACAGCTCTCAGCAAGATTTCATCGACAGCTGCACAGATGAGCCCGGAAGTCCCCATCCGAGGCTCGGGAGGTCTCCCCAAACCTCATGCTTCCTGGGTTGGCCATAAGGCTCCTGTCTGAGTATTTCAACTGTTTAATTGCATGGCGCTCTAGCAAGGTGTGCTAAGCCACGTACATTTGAAACTCACTTCCCAAGGAAAGAGAGAGGAGTCCATGAGGAAGTGGTAAGGAGTAGTGGGGACCTGGATGGTCCATCTGTTCCCGGATGATAAGGACTGAGATATCCTTGTGAACGTGCCCCGTTTTCCCTCCTTTGCCTCTTTTGTGAATGTCACATATGGTTTCTGGCAGTGGCATCAACTGCCAGTTTAGGAAATGTGGTGACTATGGCCCTGAGACACCATCTGTGAAGAATCTGTTGATGAACCCTCTCATTCCGCTTGTGTCGGCCCAGGACTCTGGCCTGTAAACCTGGTGACCTCCTCCACACTATCCCAAAGGGGACCCTCTGCCTCCCGCCCAGTGCCAGCCCCCAGCTCTGAACTCACAATACAGCTGGAGAAGCCGATGCCCCCTAGGCGCGGGCACACGTAATGCCAAACACCGATGCTGCCACGGCGGATCCTCTGGCCCACAGCCAGCTCCAGAAAGAAGAGAGGGATGCCAATGATGATCAGCAGCACCAGGTATGGTACCAAGTAGGCACCTGCAAGGATAAGAGAAGGTACAGATCAGAGGGACAGTGAGGGAAGGGGTGGCAGCCGTGCCCAACAGTCTCAGACATAGTGTGTGGGCAGGGACAACAATGGAAGAGAAAGGTGGCATATCCAACAGACTCGGCCACAGCTTAGGCCATCTGGAGCTTCCCCGTGAATGTTGCTGCTCAAGGCTGTGATTTTTATCTCCAACGCTGGCCCATTCAGACTTTTCCTCTCCTTGATCCTCTGACTCGGGATGGGACACAAGAGAGCGTACGGACACCACTGCCTTCTACTCGCAAGGCTGGATTCAGAAGCAGATACCTCATTGCCTCTCAGAGAGCCACGTGTCAAGTCACAGACACTGGCCTCACGCAGCACTCTGTGGACACCTGTCCACAACCCTCCCAGATGTCACGGGTCCCGCTCACTCATTCCCAAGGCCTCACTCCCACCCACCCTCCCTCCTACTCTGTGGTCCGGCCTGCCGGCATCTGAGACAAATGCTGACACAGCAGACTGAGCAACTCGAGAGAAGCCTAGCTTGGACGCTCTCCAGGGAGAGGATCTGATCAGCATCACCATTAATCCACAGCCAATTGGGAGGAATGGAAGAGAAATTAGTTGTTCAGGAAAGCGTGATAAGGGAATCATAAAGGATGGAATGATCTTGCTAAAGATTACAGATAACAAATTAATCTTGCTGTCTTAAACCTAGCTGCAGACACGATCTCAATTCCGAGTGACAGGGCATTTAGCAAGAGAATTAAGGCCACGGCTGGACATGGACGAGTGCATCCCCACCAAGAGTTGTGCCAAGAACATAGCCCCGTTGGCAACACTATCAGTCAGGCCCTGCCTGTCAAACTGTCTTGCTTGTTCCTGTCTCCTGGGTTACCTAGCACCTTCAGGGAAACCCGCTCAAGAGAGGAGTCTCTGAAAGCCTCGGCTACACTGCTCTACCCTGTAGTGGTATTTGGTTTATGATCTAACAAATAAAGCTTGCCTGAAGATCAGAGTGCAGAGCTAAGCCACTAGTTAGTCATAGATGTCAGGCAGTGATTGCACAAACTTTAATCCCAGGACTAGGGAGACAGAGGCAGATGGATCTCTATGGGTTCAAGGCCACCCTGGCCTACATGAGATTGAATCTGTCTAAAAAAAAAAAAAAAGTGATCCCAGCACTTGGGATCCCATGCCTTTAATCCCGGCACTAGGGAGGTGAAGACAGGAGTGATATGGCTGGGCGGAGAGAGGAATATAAGGCAGGAGGAGAGAAGAGCTCTGCTGCAGTTTGAGGATTCAGTCTGAGCATGCAGTCTGAGGTTTCAGAGACAGCAGTCAGTCTGAGAATCTGTAGAGACAGGATCGCCACTTCGGTCTGAGCACTGGTTGAGGTAAAGGTTCTCTAATGGCTGGCTCCTTTGCTTCTCTGATCCTTCAGCCTTTACCCCCAATATCTGACTCTGAGTTTTGATTATTAAGAACAACCAGAGTTCGTGCTTCACTGTTCCCTGCAACTTACCCTTCTCAAGTGCATGCCTAATCTGCCAATGAACCCTGGAGATCAGGCAACTACTGGACACAAAATTTGTCCGTCAGCAGCAAAAGTTGTTTACCATGGATCTCCTCCATGCCAGATTCAGGCTTTGGGGGGGATGCAGGAGGAACAGAAGACCCAGATGCCATCCTGGGAGACCTCGCGGGAGGCAAGTTCCTCAGATTCATTTAGGCAGTGTCAGCAGGCACATTCTGGATTGGTCACACCACAGGGGGCCACCTGAGCACACATCTGCTGAGGGAACTCATGGGGAGAGCCTTCAAGAGAAGCTTCCCACCGAGTCTCACAAAGCAATATCATTTTAACACGCGCGCGCACACACACACACAAATGCACACACATACACGCACGCACACAGGCACACACGCACACATGCACACACATGCACACAATGCACACATGCACACATGCATGCGCAGGCATCCACCCATGTACTCCTCATTCAGCCTGTCACTCACCAGTAGCCCCATCAAATGCCCTAAAAAGCCGTGAGTATGGACCTCTAGTCTGGCTTGGTCTTTGGTGGAGAGAAACAGTAGCAACAGAAGCAACTTATTGCAGGAAGATGACAAGGAGGAGCCTTGCTGGTGTTTTACTTTGCCTCAGGGTCCTCAGGAGGAACACGATGTCCAGGGAGATGAGTGTCGGGGTGTCAGAGCACACTGCTATCTCCTATGTATGTTTCTCTCCTCTTCCTACAGCTGGGGAGATCCTCTAAAAGTGATCTGCGGCCAAAAGGTGGACTGGCTTTCCTTCTGTCCGAGTCCTGACAGCAGGTCATGGCCACATGGAGTTTAGTCTAGCCAGGGGGCTCAAGGCCAGGAACTCAGGTGAGCTGAACTCATAGTTAATCAAAGGCACTCTTGTGTGCCAATCATCACTGAGTTCACGAGGCACCCTCTTCTACCTGGGAAAACATGACCTGGAGGCAACAGTGTCTCTGAGGAGGCTCAGGGCTGAGCAGCTGGGAGCACCACTCAGGGCATTAGGACACTGGGTGGAGCCTGACTCTCTACACTTCACCAGATCTCTCTCTATACACCGTGCCTTGCTTTTGCCACAGCCCATTTATTTCTGGGGCTCAAGAGCTCATTTTTTGGCCTCCAGTCAATTGAAATATGGATAGAAAAGAAGCTGCGAACAGACTCTGTGATCAGATTATCAAACCTGGAATCCTGGCTCTGACACCTACTTTGCAACTTTGAATAAATTATTTGATGTCTCTTTGTTCTTATTTTGTCATAGATGCAGACAGAATGGAAGTATTAGACGAAGCCATAGGAGATAGCTGATGTGTGTCCATTTTTTATTTACAAAAATGTCACTCCATACTCCTCCACTCTCTAAAGGGTGTTGTGAAGAAGGAATGAGGTACTTTGAACAGGAAGGCTAAGCACAAATGCTGCTGTACAATCTTCAGGAGGTCTGGCTGGCAGAGGTGGGTCCCTGAGTGGGCCTTTGAGAGGTATAGCCTGTCCCTGATTCTGTATTATCCTGTTTCCTGCTACTCTGCCTTGTGATGAGCTCCCCAACACACTTCCTCTGACACAGATACTCATTCGCATTACCACCCTCACAGGCTGAGCTCCCCCGAAACCCTCAGACAAACTGAGTCCTTCCTCAAGTTTCTTTTGTTAGCTATTTTGTTCCAGTAGGGAGAAAAGTAACCGATACAAAGGTGAGGTGTCCCTCTCTGAATGGAGCAGAAATTTTGGGAGAGGCTACGATGGTAGGAACTCGCCGGCAGGAAAAAGCTGAGCCAAAATGCTAGGAAGCTGTAGCTATCCAACAGGCTGGAGCGTGGTGGTCCCAGGGCAGGGGACTCAGGAGCTATGCAGTTCCCTTCATAGCTTTCATAGAAAGGACAGGTTTCTCGGGAACACAGGCGTGGCCTTGGAAATGCAGTTGCTAGCTCTCTGTGTTAGCACTAACTGTCGGCTTCACTACAGTCATGTGAAAAGAGAATCTTGGCTGAGGGATTTCCCAGATCAGACTGGCCTCTGGTCGTGTCTTTCAGGGATTTCCTTCATTAGTAATTGATCCAGAAGAGCCCCGCCCACTGTGGGCGGCACCATTCCCTGGGAAGCTGGTCAGGGCTCTAAAAGAAAGCAAACAAGGCGCCACACTGTGAGCAGGGCAGCAGGTACTGTTTCTCCGTGAGTTCTTGCTTCATTTCCTGCCCCGATTTCTCTCGGTGACGGCCTGCGTCCTCACTGAAGTTGCTTTTAGTCAGTGTTTCATCACAACAGAAAAGAAACGAAAACATGAGCCCACCAAGGTTTTCTTTATTTTCTGTGATCTTCCCATCATTTCAAGCCAGCCTGCCTCTGGAAAATTCTGATAAACGTCCACACTCTGGAGAGACAGCCAGTGCCTAGGGATATCTGTTTGCTCTGGGCTTTGTCAGCACCGACGACAATTTTATAGGATGCCACATGCGCCAAAGGAATTTGTAACCAGGTGCAGTGTGAGGCGCCTCTACAGGCAGCCAGCCCACGTGGTGTAATGTGCATAGGCCACACCCACCAGGTGGAATCCCACAGCATTAAGCCTTCATGTCACATGACCTGGGAAAATTACCCAACCTATCTGTGCCTCGGTTTTATAGTCTCTAAAGTAAAGACAATGACCTTCTCCTTAAACAAGGTCGCTGGGAGGGATGGATGGATGACCCATTTGAAGCTGGCGCTTGGTTGTTCCAAGATGCTCAAAGAGGAGGAGTTAAGCCATTAATCGCTTACAACAGTGCTTCCTGTCTCTGTTTGATAGTAACAGCCAACAGTTGTTCTTTACCAAGGTAGTATATAAAATTCACTTAATCCTTCCAACTACCAAGAGTAGACAGGAAGCACTCTTATGTTCAATTTACAGGGTAAGCACTGACAAGCAGAGGTCCAGCAGCTTGTATTAGGGCCCAGGCCTCACTGGCTATGCTAGAATGGGATCTGAACCATGGCAGTCTGGAGCCAGACCCCCATTCTTATCATAACCTCCAGCCTTTTTATACCTATGAGCCACTGTGTGACTCAATGACTCTTGTTCTGGAATTCTGCACTCCTATCTCTAAGGAATCCAGGTCCGCCTCAGCAAAGGTTTGGTCCTTTCTACCCCAGCCCAACCCATTTTCCAGGTACCCTTGATCAATCACGGTTACCTCTTACCTCCTCCATTTTTCTGGCACAGGTAGGGGAACCTCCAGATGTTGCCAAGACCCACAGAAAAGCCAATCTGGGCCAGGATGTACTGCAGCTTGCTATTCCAGGCCGGCCGGTCCTCTGCATCCAGCTCCTCCTCCGCTGCCTTCTGCTTGCCACCTGCCTCGCCGGCCACATTCAGTACACTCTGCTTATAGTCCACAGGCTCCTCGAGGGCCAGCAAGTCAGCCACGGACTCAGTGACAGGCTCATTGCTGTGTTCGCGCTGTGTCACCTTGCTGTTCTTCGGCATGGGTGCCACCGGGGCTGTGGAGCCCTGTTCCCCAGCACACAGAGAAGGTGGGGTTCGGCTCCTGTCAGCTCTTTCTCATCCAAAGGCCTGTGGAAGCAGATAAACAGCAGAGGATTGGTGGGCAATGCCAGAGTAAACAGACAGAACCCAAATCAAGTATCGGGATATATCCCATACTGGCCCCCAGTTTCCAAGTGTTGAGCTCAACTTTGTCCCCAGCAGGATGATCACTGGGGCTCTGTTTTCCCATAGGTGTTACCTGGGTATCACTAGAAGGTGCTGGAAACCTAATGAGGCAAAACCTGCAAAACCCAAATACAGGTCCTCTACCATGACCTTCATCTTTCATCATCACAGCCTAGAGTGGTCAAGACCTCTGGAGATACCCACACTCTTCCCCTTCTGAGGTAGTGTGGTTGTGACTCACACCTACCTCTGTTGTGTTCTATTAGCCAAAACCACTTGGTGGGACCCTGGGGTGGTAGTTAATTTCAACTGTTAACTTGCTGAATTAAGGAACACCTTTGAGTGTTTTAAGAGGGTGTTTCCAGAGAGGATGAAGCAAGGGGGTACTGTGTACCCTGAATGTGTGCCAGGCTACCCCATTGGCCGAGGTCCCAGATGGAATAAAAAGGGTAAAAGGGAGCCAATAAGTCAGTCTTCCCTTTCCAAGCTTCCTAGTCTGTGCAGAGAGGAGCAAGCAGTCTCATGTGCCCACCTGCCACTGCCCTCACCACCATGCTTTTTCCCGCCACTGACTGTGTTTCCTTAATTTATAAGGCAAAAGAAGTCCATGGTAGTTTTAATGTACTTGGTCCCATAAGCTCCACAAGGAGGAGCGTTATTAGGCTGCATGGCCTTGTTGGAGTAGGTATGCCCATGTTGAAGGAAGTGTGTCAATGTAGAGGCAAACTTTGAGGTCGCATATATGCTCAAGCCATGCTCAGTGACTCAGACCACTTCCTGTTGTCTGCAGGTCAAGACATATGACCCTCAGCTCCTTCAATGTCTGCCTACATGCCGCCACGTCACACGGTGATGATAATAGACTAACCTCTGTAAATGTAAGCCACCTCAATTCAACGCCTTTCCTTTATAAGAGCTGCTGTGGTCATGGTCTCTCCACAGCAATAGGAATCCTAACTAAGACAAAGGCCTTTTTCTCTTAAGTTGCTTCCTGTCAGATCTTTGGCTACAGCCATGAGACAATAACTATACACACAGAAACTGAGCATCTGACTTCTCTAAACTCTTCTTTGTCAAAACATAATCCATGGGCCAAGGAGTCACCAGGAGTTCAGTAGAAATGAGAGCCTCCCTAGGATTCAGAAGGCTCCCTGAGTCTCACTATGGGGATCCTGGACAGTAGCTACCAAGTTCCTCTCATTTCCCTGGCAGGAAAGCTGCCCAGGCTCCGCTATGGATTCTGGCACCAGAGCCCTAGAAATGTTTGCTTGGTGCCAACAAATCCTGGGTCATTGCTCAGCACTGACATTATCTGAGGGCCACTGCAGCCAAGAGCTGGTTCTCCATCCTTCAAGCGACAGCTTTATGGCAGATAACGTCTGCACAACATGGGCGGGGGCGGCAAAGCCCTCCCCTCCTCTGCCACCCCTCATTTGTCTTTTACACTTTCCCTTACAGAAAGAAAGCACCATGAAAACGAGTGCTTTGAAGAATCCAGCGTTCTGTTATATTTCAAGGTACCTCCTCATTAAGAAGAGGCTGGAGAATTTAAAATAAAACACACACACACACACACACACACACACACACCCCAGCCTACCATTGCCCTGCATCTTTCTAAGGATGTAAATTAGCCAGCTCTGTAATCACTTTATTAAGGGAACAAGCTGTCTCTGGAAGCCAGGCTTGCTATTCTTCTCGTGTGTCTGTGCCCCCTGAAAAGCACAGGCAAGGTCACTGTGCGACAGAAGGGCACAAGGATTCTTTTGTGGTTGATGCAACCGTCCTGACTAACTCCAGCCAGGACCTGACCAACCCAGCCCTGCTGCATGTGTGATAAACCTGTGAGGCCTTATGACGACAGGGGTGGGGGCATCCATGCTAGTCTGTGAGACTGGCTAGCTCTCCCCAGGCCAGGCTGTGGAGCACAGCAGCAGGTGACACTGACCTGCACTCTTTGTTCAAGAACAGCAGTGAATCTTTTGCAACTGCCCTCTCCACCCCAGGAACAAGACATCAAGGTCTTGGGCTTTGGAGGAACCAGGGCAGAGTCAGCCTCAGAATTCTTAATAAGACATTCTGTTGAGACTCCACAGTGGGCTAGCTGAATATTCCATTGCATCCTAGAAAATGCCCCAAGTTGGCACAGTGGGCTAGTTGAAAATCGCATTGTGTCTCTCTCTTTTATGGTTTGCCTCACAGAACAGGATAAGCCCTGGGGAGACAGGCCAAGGAATTTGTGTCCCACTTTTCATGGGTGTCCTCTGCAGCATGAGAGAGTACCTAGGTAACCAAGCTGAGACTTCTGTGCCCCTTTTCCATGCCCCTAGAGGCTGCCCAAGGTGGCACTTGTGTATCTGTGGGCTCTTCAGCCCTCAGGACTCTTCCCCGCTGCCATATAGCCCATGCTACACAATGAAGAGTATACAGAAGTTATGTCATAGGGAGGCCTGTGCCTGGACCTGGCATGTCAGGGCGAGTGCCCCCATGGACCCCATGGCACTCAGCTGGAGGAAGCCTAAGGAATTCACACTGCGCTCCTTGTCTGGGAACTTACTCCTCCCCTGCAACCAACCTTGAAAGCTTTTACTGCAGATTAGAGCCAGGGGTACTGGTTGTGGTGTCTGGAGATTGCAATCTGGGATGCCTTGGCTTAGAGTTTCCTCCAGTTGTCTTTCTCACACAGGAGTTCAGGAACGTTCTGCAGCGCATTAGGTCTGATCATTAGGCTCGAAGTGGAAAAAGCCAGGGGAGATCCCCACCAGCTGCAGGATCCGTCTCGATGCTAACCAACTAGAGCACGTTTCCCCTAAATACCTGAAGAGTAGGAGCTCTAGTCGCTAATGTGAAAGAAAGGGCCACCACTTTCAGCTAGGAACACTCAAGGACAGAGGCAGCGCACAGTTGGGAAGAAAGAGCTGCTTGACCAGCGGCCACGGGACCACACTCAGTATGGCTTTCCTCCTCCTGATGTCACTCACTCAGAGTGTCCTCCAATCTACGGGAAGGTGCCCAGGGACCCCTGTACCACTGCAGGACGCAAGCTCATGTTACGAGCCTATAAGCTGCACTGCTGGGCTGTAGCCACAACGAGGAAGTTCTGAATCCAGTGATATATCCAGGTGATGACCCAACATGACATTGGGTATACAGATATACATATATGTGCATGTGTGTGCATGTGTGTTTGTGTGTAAACTAAGGCTCATAGAGAGGAAATAAATTACTCAGAGTACTCAGGTCCTCCTGACACCCTAACAGGGTATCCTGCCAGGATTGACGCTGTGGATCTGGGGGGAGGGGTTGCAGGAAGAAAGCAGGCATCCCAGGATCTGTTCTGGGGAATGTGATGCTGCAGTGAGCATGACAGACCCCCTTTCTTTTGGAGGGCCAGGTACTAAAGAAATAAATATCAAATGTAATGGCCAGGGGTGATGTGCACTGCAAAGAGAAACAGCATGGGCAGAATGGCACCAGCTGCCTTCATGCTGGGGAGGAAAGAAGTCAGGAAGGGCATCATCTGGAGCAGAGGCCCAAATGACAGGAGAGAGCACTAGCAGAGATGAATCACACATACATACACGCGCACACGTACTCACTCATGTATGCACATACGTGTGCATGCCCACACACACTTATGAAAGGAAGCTCTGTGAGTAATTCAAGAACAGCAGTGTGACCCAAATGGCCAGGGTGAGGAGGGAGATCAGGGAAAGTATGATGGGTAGTAAGGACTTGGATGGGCATTCTTCATGAAGTGTTGAACACATACTAGCCGTGTGCTCCTGGAAAAGACCCATTAGTTACCCAAGGGCCAATTCCCTCGTGATGAAAATGGCTCTATTTAATGACAGGCTCCCTCTCCTAGAAAGCAAGAACACATGGCTAGAAGTGCCCAGTACAGAGCTAGGGCCCAGACACCAACAGCTGCAGCCTGAAGGCCTGGCAGTATTCATCTTTGCACGTTCAACTATGTAAGAGCTCATTTATATTTGTTTACATGATTCTCCTTTCTCCTCAGAAAGAACCGGAGTGGCGGGGTGGTGGTGGTGGCGCATGCCTTTAATCCCAACACTCAGGAGGCAGAGTCACATGGATCTCTCTGAGTTTCAGGCCAGCCTAGTACACAAAGCAAGTTCCAGGATAGCCAGGGCGACACAGAGAAACCCTGTCTCAAAAAAAAGAAAAGAAAAAGTAAGAAAGAAAAAACCAGAGTGAGCAGAGAGTGCGAGAGGTGGCAGCTGGTTGAAACGGCCACCTTTTTTTCTTTTCTGTTGCTGATGGTCTAACCCGGGGCCTTGTGAGTGCTGCCACTGAGCTACATCCACACCCCAGAAATGCTCATTCTTCATAGCAAGAATGAGACCCTCCTAAGGCTTCTCACCAGCACCCCACTCATCACACCCTAGAGCCCAAAAGAGCCAAGTAAACACCATCAGCTCCAGGTGGTTTAGATCCAAAACCTCAGCAACATTATATATAAAAGATAAGTATTAGTAATAAAAATAGCTCATAGCTCATATATAGCATTTGCAATCATTTGAAGCCATTAAACATTTTTGTGCACCATGCTGGTATAGTATGGAGTACTGATTATGTTGGGCTTGGGTTCAAATCCCAGCATCACTAGGTATCAACTGCCCAGGTTTCGGTTCCCTCATCTGTCACAGTTATATTCTAAAGTGTCCCTCACAATGCCGAGACTCAAAGAGGTTCTCACAAATGCTTCTCCCCGTGGGCTCTCATTTGAGCCCCACTCCAGCTCAGGAAAGCAAGCAGTAAACTGCACACACGTCATTTACACATGAGAGCACCCAGAAAAGGGTCACATCTCACAGGTCTACTCCTCTACCTGTTCATTCTCCAGGCTGTTCGCCATCTTTGACATGTTTTAAATTTTT